ACAAGTGTGTGTTCATGAGTGTGTAATCTTGAGCGTGTGTCCATGAGTGTGTGTGTTCTGAGAGTGTGTGTCCACACTATACTATCACTGAGCAGGACCCTGGAGTCCGCAGCGCTGTACCTGGTGTGGCATTCCAACCATGAACCAGGTGGTGGCTGATGCCAACTTGCTGGCATTCGGTCATGGGTACTGGAAGCTGAACCAGGAGATACTGGAGGAAGTACTGAGTACTGAGTACTGAGGAGTGAGTACTTATTTTGAAATATTCTTTATGAAATAGTTTATTTTGATAGAAATAAAATGCTATCACTGACCAGTAAGTGGAAATTTCAACTTGGATGAAAAAGTCAGAACATAATTCTGCCTTCTTAGAGGAAATACTTACTGATGGAGAAAGGAGTATTAGCCACATCAACTAACAGATGTGCCATGGATCACAGTCTTTAATAAAGACTTGTTCTTTCTGGTGCATTATGGTTATGTCAATATACATATTGCAAATGAATAAAATAAACGATTAATAAGCAGGAATCCTTGATGGTTACTGTAGATGTAGCCACTGTATTTGCAACTGTTTGTATTTTCCTTTCTGTTGTGCTCATCAAAAGCAACAGCAACGTTAGCACAAATGAAATCTCTTCGCTTCCTGGGTAGAGTGGAGCAGCTTCTCCAGCCCGAGCAGTGGGTGTGGCAGGGCTTTGTGTCTGTCAAGTCACAAACCAGGACAATTCCGGCTGAAAACAGCAGCCGACTTTTCTAACCCCAGGTCATGGGCAGAGCCATAGCAGGAGATGTCCGCAGTGCCCATCGTGTTTTCCCCACGGGTACAGGATGGGAACAGTGTCCTGACTGAAGGGAAGGTGACCAGCAGGCACAGAGAGATCTACTGATGAGCAACAGGTGATGTCATTGCTTATCTGCCACTGTCTGCAGCAGCCGCGAAGAGATGAATAAGAAATCAAGCAGTAGATCAAAATTATCCAGCCCTGATAACAATGGCTCCAGTGGTCCCACCCTGAACTGAACTGTATTCGCTCTACCAAGGATGCTCAGCCAGTCAGCCCACAGTGTCCATCCCCCCCTCACTTTTTTTAAAATTCCCACATTATACAACATCCTCACGTTAGAATCCTCTGATGTCCCGACACATTGCTCTCTGTGAGGGCTTCTCATGACACTAACAAAGATTTGACCAAAGTAATTGAAATCGAGGTCAGAACTAAAATGCAATTTCAGCACAGTCTCACTACATTTTTCTCACCTGCTCTAAGGACACACCTGTACACTGTCCTGCTGCTCTGGAACACTGCACTCCTGCATCAGTGTGCACGCCTCCAGTCCCAGTCTCTTACACCCTTCACTATGCATGACTCTAGTGCCAGTCTCTCACATCCTTCACTGTGCATGACTCCAGTACCAGTCTCTCTCACACCCTTCACTGTGCATGACTCCAGTGCCAGTCTCCTACACCCTTCACTGTGCATGACTCCAGTGCCAGTCTCTCCCACACCCTTCA